GTAGCTTACTAACAAAATTACACTAATTTATCTTTTATTTTTCAATATAAATTAATTAATAATTTCATTTTCTAACATTATAATATTTTGTTCCCCATTTGTATTTGGTTATTAATTAWAATAATAACAATAACTACAATTTTATACTTTTTGATAATTGTTTAATATAATTCTCAATTTTATAGAAATTAGTTAAAGAGTTTTCAATTTCTATAAAATGTTGTTAGTGAGTTAATTAATAACAATATTTATTAATTTTTAGTAATTTATTAATCGTACTAATAAGAATATTTAATTTTTGGTAATTTACTAACCGTGTTTATTAACTTTTGGTAATAACATTTTTTAATACTCATTGGATATATGCGGGATTAAATACTAACCGTATTTAACTATTTATTAATTAATATGAATATTTTAAATGAGAGAGAGTGGATATAGATTGGGGGGGATGCATTTTAAGAATTGATTAGGGAGTGGCAGCATGATACTTTCTTATTGTTTTAAATGAGATACCTTAAGAGAGAGATTATAGGAATATTTTTAGGTAGTTGAGTGACATGGCTAAATGGGAGTGGTGGGAAGGGGAGAGGAGAGAAAGACAAAGAAAATGCACAGTGAGGATAATGGAGCAAGGAGAGGCATAGTGACAGGGACCCGTGCTTTGTTAAGCGAAAGTTAAACAATGGAAATACATGTGAGTATATAATTGTTTTATATTTTAACTTTTTAGTAAACAATTCGATCAAACTCAACCCGAGTTGGTCGGTTTTCTAGTATTTTAGATCAACTTTGATTTAATAAATATATATCAATATTTTATATTTAAAATTTAATTTTTTAATAGGAGAAAGTAGGAAAATTCTCATATTTGTTAGTCTAAAATATTTTTATATCATAGATTTAATTTTTGTAATTTATTTTTTAATAACATCATTGTAATTTATGAAATTTAAAGTTAACTTTTAAGTTTAAATCTTTTGAACAAACAAACTAAACAAAAAATATACCCGAATCGATACAACCCGAGTTGGTGGGTTTTCGCTAATGGTCAATCGGTTTCAAGTGACAAACTATGGACTTGACCAGATCGATTTGGTTGGTGAAACAACCTGCAACTGAACTGAACCAATCATTGAACACTCCTAATTTCAACTAAATTTATAGTCTAATCTCTAATAAATAACAATAGTTTAATCTCCAATAATTATTGAAAATTTATAGCAAAGGTACACAATCCTTGAAAATAAGTTTATAATGAAAATATAAT